AATTACGGAAAATTTTTATTAACGGTTAGTCCAACTCTAGACCCCAGATTTATTGTACTGGCTATAAGGTCGACCCTCCGAGACAGCCGGCTGTGTCACTGCCCCTTGCTGTTGCGGTCGACGGCGGATTGCAGGATTCAGCGATCAGTCATCGCGAGGTTGTACGCCGTCACCCACACGAAGACGCGGTGTGCATTGATCGGCTCGAGCTAAGTGCTAATGCAAACGGGTCACTGGTACGCGTTCTTAAAGTTTTCGGACGTGATGTCTAGTAGATGAGCGAAACAAAATGTCCCGCAGCTTTGTTATGTTGCAGCCTACAGATGTGATTGAAAGGTCGTTTGAGAATCCTCAGTTTATTCTTCCGAACATGACCAGAATTATTTCTGAACAACTCAAGAGGGGTGTGATTAAACGCGTAAATCTGGACACAAAATGTGAAAGGATTGTGAACTGTAGCCGGCAAGGTATGATCCACTAAAATAGATCCCAGAGCTAGGGTGCACGGGATAACACTTATCGAACTGGTTCCAAAGAGTGCATGCATAAGCATGTGTGAGGTGTTCAAAGTTGGATTTGGAGAATCCGCAGAGTAGTTGAGTTGCTACAAACAACCTCTATTGTGACCTCAGTTCACTTGAGGTGGACCTCGGTCATTCCGATCACAAGGACCGTAGGTAGTTCACGGCTGACGCCCTGAACACTATGCTACTGAGATCCGCGAGCAGCGCTTGGCACAGCGGAAAGTAATTCAAAGCTGAATTTAGAGAGCACGCTGTGGTTGGGTTGCGACTCACAACCCCTATTGAGACCTCGGTTCACTTTGAGGTAAACCTCGGTCATTCCGATCTCGAGGACCGTATCCTAAATGGAAATATTTGGGTGTTACTCTTCCCAACACTGGCGCACCACGACCGCGGTTACGTTCTTGTTCGGACTCGTCAGGTGGAGATAGCCTGAGCTGGGATGGAACCCAGAACTTAGTGGTTCACGGCTGACGCCTTGAACACTGTGCTACTGAGATGCACGTGCAACACTATGCACAGGCAAAGAATGATATTAAGGAACAGTAGTACGGGGTTCGCGTACTGCCGAAGCCAACGATGAAATTACAAGAAGCAGTATTTTGACACTTCACTTGATATCAACACAGGGCTTTTTGGATTCAGTCGACCTGGTGTGGATACCCAAAACAACTCCGTAATGTATGTCACGGTCTATTTTGCTGAGAATTTGTGGTTATTTTCAAACGGCAATGAACGATGAATTTATAAGGGGTTAAGCAGCGTTGCTTTACTAGTCCCGCTGGATAGTTGGTGAAGATATCGAAATAATAATAATAATAATAATAATAATAATAATAATAAAAGCAGTAAGCACTTAAATATGAAAAGCAGGAATAAACATTTGCTCCGCTGTAGTTCTGACATCCGTGTAGATTCATAGGACCCACAGTTAACATCAAATGAATCCATGTTAAACTCCAAGAGTAGGAAGGAGATGTACCGCTGTGACAAAGTGTGCGTGAATGAGCGTATCATCTAACCGTCTTTTAACTACTGTTTGTGTCGGTGCAGAGACTACCGATTCTGAGAGAGCATTCCACGCGTGACAGACATGAATCGAAAAGAAATTCCTGCGGCACTCCAGACAGTTATACTGTTCTGCGAGTTTCCAAGAGTAGTCCCTCAGGGTTGTATTGCTGCTGAGTTGCAGCAAAGGGTGGCACACATGATGTGGGTCTTACAGAATCAAGTATGCCATAATCCAGTAGCCTCATAATCTGGGATAGCGTCCGCTGAATACCTCCAATCGTTTTAACATCTCCTGGTATGAAAGATTGCGTATTCCAATTACGTGCTTAGATGCCTCACGTTGTGGCTGCTCTAGTCCATTAAGGTTGTGTTTCAGCCATGGATGCCAGGCTTGAATTGCGTATTCGATATGGGGGCCAACATTCGCACTGAGCATTTGTCGAAGTATGGAGTTGAGTATTTGTCCAAACGCCAATGGTAACATCCCGACGTGTTGATTACTAGTCTTCGAGGCCTTTTCGGATTGTCTGGAGCAACCCAAGTCATTCTGAACCAGGACATCCTAGTCACGTTCGACAGTTGGCTGTTGCTGTGAATTCGTTCTGAGCCGGTATGAGTAGCTACTCTGATGTCGGATGGAAAGCACCTTGCATTTACTGACGTTGAAATGCAATAAGTTTCGGGTCGACCATTGATACACAGTATCTAAGTCACTCTGAAGCACATGTTGGTCGGCTTTCGCCTGGATTCTGCGCCAGATCTTGATATCGTCGGCAAACATTAGGAAGTTTGCAACGATTCTCTGTATAAGGTCATTAATAAACACCAGGTGGCACACGACTTGTACGGGGTCCGATCACTAATTCCCGTTGAAGTAGAAAGTTGGTAATCCAGCTTCCAAGACGGTCACCGATCCCGTAACGCCGTAGCTTGGAAAGTAGTATCCAACGGACTAGAAGATCGAAAGCCGTCGAAAAATCCAGGTGGATCACATCAACACCTTCTCTAATGTCAGCTGACTCGGTCTAACTACTGCGTGCGATTAGCAAATTCGTTGTGTATGACCGCTGTCAACGGAAGCCGTGCTGCTCAAGTCTGATAATGTTACGGTTTTCCAGACAACACACCAATGCATCAGAAACCATGGATTCCATGATTTTTGACAGTATAGGAAGAAGGGATGCTGGGCGGTATTTAGAGGAATTAGTTCTGTTTCCCCCTTTGTGAATCGGAGTTATTATTCCAAGCTTCCACATGGTGGGATCTTGATTCTGGTCTAAGCAGCACTGGAAAAGCTGAGCTAAAGGTTCTTCCAGTCGGCTTGCAGCTGACTTCAGTCCCTCTGGACGAATAATATCGACACCCGGCGACCTATATTTGCGTAAAGACGTCAGCTTTTGCAATACAGCCTCCGCAGTAACATTGATATGTTAGTGCTGTCGGGGAGACGACAAAGACTGGAAGATCGCTTGGTGGTAAGGCCCTCTGAAATGTGGGGGCATATTGCATCCGCATCGAGTTTGATGCTTCCACAGCCGTTCTTGTTGGGCCATCACCCGTCCTTTTGTAGGCCATTGACCTATTTGTACAACAAGTTGTGTTTTACACTGAAGGCTTTTGCGATGTACTACTGTTAGGAACCTTTACCTTCGACGAGCAGTCGAATGCAGTGGTTATGTTGGATTACGTAGTTGTCCTAAGTTTCCAGTGCTGGAGCTTTTCTGTACAGTAGCCAGGCTGCGTTCCGTACTGTCATCCATTTGCGAGTTCTGTTCCTAACGAAAGAAGCTGATTTACATTTACTGCAAACCTTTATCTTTGAAGTCTTTTCAATCAGCTGACTGAATTTGTTGACGAACTCGAGTTCAGGGGTTCTTAGGCAAGGAACAACCAAGTTGCAGGGATGACGAGCTGGGCTAATCGATCGTAGCTTGTGATGGTTCGCACAGTCTCATCGTTCTCATTCCGGTATTTCGCTTAGCAGACTAAGTTGAAACTAATCACTGTGTGATCACTGCGACCCAACGCGCAGTCTACAACCAACACATCAATCATATGCTCCTCGTTGGTAAGCACAAGATCCAACACAAATGACCTGTTACTTGTTATGAACCGAGAGGGTAAAGTAATGTGATTGTAAAGAGGAGCAGTGGTTATGAGATCTTGTAGATTGGTTTTGAATTGTTCTGCAATCGTGGCAGGAGTATCTAAACAGTGTAGGTTGAAATCACTCATGCTAAGGATGTGAGTGCACTTTCGCTTTAAACTGCATCTTAAAGCAGTCGTAAGGTATCATACAGTTTCGGGTGTAGAGTTACGGGGTGCTATACCAGGACAATAAGGCAAGCGTCACTATCTTTTAATTGCAAGCGGCACCAAAGGGAGTCAAAGAATTGCGAGTCTGAATCCACCACGGCTTCGCACTGTAAGTCACATCGGTAATACAGAACTACCCCTCCTCCTTTTGTGAGGCTATCGTTCTAAATCAGCGACACGCCTGGTAGCGAAACTTTAACGTCCGTCATTCCCGTGTGCAACCACGTCTCAGTGATACCAATAACATCATATGACCAGGAAACTTAGAAATCTTTCAGTTCGACCAGTTTACTAAAAGGTCCCTGAGCATTCGTATACAAGCAGGCTAGTTGCTAGGTCCCTAGGAGTCCACAAAGGACTAAATGGTCAAGTGTGAGAATGCCGACCGATGGGAGGTCGGCAGTTACTCGGGCTTTTGATGAGATAATGATACCTCGTCTGAAAATTGCTTCGGCCAAGGTGCGTCCCAATTTTCTTTTAAACCTACGTCAGAGTTGAGTAAAGTAGCAGTTAAGTGAAGCTTCTGTATCATCGTCTGTGCTTTTGTTGCTTCAGATGCTCTGATATTTGAACTTTGCAAAGCTTCTGCCTCCTTTAACCGAATTTCAGAAGAACTTTTCCGATTTCTGCGCTATTAATCCAGAATATCCGTTACATTTTGCTCTGACTGAACCACAAGTTTTGGATTCTATGACCGCTTCCACTATAATTTGGTCATAGAGGTATTCTGGTGAGCAATAGCTTCACAATAGTATCCAAGGAAATTGTTTCACGAATAAGTTTGCTTAGGCTTTACTCATACAAAATACCGCCGTTTTCTCGACAGTTCTAAATTCCTGGATACTACATGCCACTGTCCTGCCTTATTTTCACCACGCAACATGTTACTGACTGTAATTGTTGGGCAAGTAGTAAGTAAGAGCTGCAAGTCCTTTATTACCTTTTTGTTTCCCAAATTTTATAAAACCACTTGTTTAATTCACCATACGAATTTCCACCTGCCTTGCTTTGCAGACCAAGCCGATGCTGAGAAATTATCTATATTGCATCGTGTATACTTAGTGCTAATGAGAATAACCATAGAGTCTTAATCTCGCATTACACATGCTGATGGTTCATTGTTTCTTTTTTTTACAACCGCCCAACACAGGAGTACGACACTGGTTCCTATTACTGTTCGTCGCGTTCCGTAATTGGCCTCCTCTTTCGAACCCCAATATACTCGAAGATAATCCATGGGGACACACGCCACTTATCTGTTGGATATCGGATGCTCTACGTCCCCGGAGTGTGGCGTCGTACCAAAGTTACTGTGTCGATTAACAGCATAATACAGCTACGGTGCGTGATGTGGTCCACTGATCCTACCAAACGGAAGGTGAACTCGCTTAGGTTAATACCACATCAACTGTCCAATTCCAATAGCCCGATGACAGCGGATCTATCCGCACAAAGGAGTATCATCTTGCGTGTAATTGATCATCACTATCCAGCAAAAGAGCAAAAAGATTTGAAAAATATTGGATGTGAAATGTCAGGGGGAGAGAGTTCGGTAAAAGTGCTAACCGAAGCACCAACTATAGCCTGCAGTACGCAGGGTACTTTACGTGTGATAAAGGCTATACCGGAAGAAGATCATTGGGCTCCCACTACGCAATGTACGGTTAACCATAGTTGTTTAGATGCAAAATTCCGATGGCAGTGGTTAGCCGGACCAATACCTCAGCTCACAGTGGACTCGAACTACATCGATCCCGATTCTGTCAGCAATGGTAGCTTATTGTACATGTGGAAACTACCTCGAAGCGGTGTTTACTTGTTTAGATGTACTATGAGGTGTATCTGTGTAAACCAAACAACTCAAAGTGGAATAGACGTACTACTTGAAGTATTGCCTGGAGAGTCCGAAGCGGCCTTGGTCAAGGAATCTAGAATTCATGATCTTGAGAAATACCCCGAGGAAATTAACAAATTTTATCCAAGAGAACGAACTCTGGAGGATTTTATGGAGGCAATTATGCAGACGGTCTCTGAAGACAAGGCAGATCGCTTTGAAGATGATATGAGTAACTGCACGAGCGCTGCACCACTTGATGCTGATTCCACCGATGACTTATCGACTACTTGCCCAGAATGGTCACACTGGAGTGTAACAAAACACATAGCATCTAGTCTATCTTTGGATTATCATGACTATGCCGTCCGAAAAACCCCTGAAAATCCTCACTTTTTTGTTTTGCCGTCTAGGTGGTTTAGGCGTATACATTGGGCCTCCGCGCAGAGATCACCCAAAGGCTTTTGGGCAAGTGAAACGGAAGAAAACACAGTTTCGGACAACTTTGGCGGCCGGCAGAATTATGCGGCTGTCCAATACTATCGATGGAAATTCTGTCCTCAAGAACAACAATGCCCATCTAGCTTTCCGTTAAGAAACGATTGGTATTGCACGCTTCTCAGGAAAAATGTAGTAAAAAATAACAAACTCGCAAAAAGAAACCGAGCCAGAGACACAGAGCAACATGAAGGTAATTTGTTATTTGCGGTGGGAGTTATGAGCAATCGTCTTCGATGTCATGCCTTTACTGACATCAACCAAAATTCATATGATCGCTGGTTGAGTTACATTAATGTTCTCTCTTTGTTGCCGCATAGTACACGCAGAAAGCGCACAGTCCTTGGCGTCCGTGCTCTTGATGATAATAACGCGTTCATGGATCCATCAAAGAGACCCAAATACTCTCCTCAACCAGGCCTTAATTCCGCATATTTAGCTCGGAAGAACAAATATGCGGACGCTACTCGTGAGTTGGGGAGA